GAATCTTCTTTCCATTTGCAATAGAGTAATTAGAAATTTGTATATTCTATGGTCCGGTTTAGTGAATGAAGTACAAACGAACTTTTCGGAGCAATACACAAATGAAAACATTCCAGATGAATCATTGTTTAAAAAAAGTTATCTGGAAGATCACGTCAAATAAACTATTCAAAATATTTGTAATAATACTGATAAGATATGATAAGAGTATCGTAATAATACGATAAGAACACCTTAATATTTGGTACACTGACGGTGACACAGACTAAATGATGAAACTACAATGTTATGCTTATTATTAAATAAACATTTATTTCAAACGAATTATTCACCAACTGTTTCATACATTATTAATTCGTTGGTATGAACATCGTGATTTAATGGTTTGGAAGAGAATCTATTATTGCTCGTGACAAATGTAGGAACATAGGTGTTATAGAACTGATGATTCAAATTGAAAAAATACATTGAAAGCGTAGACATTCCAATTCAATAACACTTTCTACCTATTGAAAGTTGGAAAATATATCACAAATTGGGTTTGAAGATCACTGTAACTCCCATGACTCGTATTCGTTGGTGTAAGGAGATTTGCTAGGCTACAGGGGTATTTTTAAACGTTAATAACTAAACAACGAAGCCTCAAACGCAATTTTTTTATTCTTGATTTTCGTCTTATATTGGCTTCTAAAATCACCCTTTAAATTTTCTACCAACAGTTGCCGAAAACTTTGGAAAGAGAAGGAAATCAAGGCAGTCGGGAATTAATTGCTAGGTCCAGGTGTGGTAGTTTAGAAGCAGCAAATATATATTCAACGGAAGAAAAACAAAGGGAATGTATTTTATGTAAGGAAGAATTAGGAAGTCTAAAGCATTGGGTAGAAGAATGTAGAAGAGTTGAGAATAAAGGAATAAAATTAGAGGAAGGTGAATATTTAGAATTTTAAAGCACACAAAAATATGAAAGAGAGAGGATATGTGAGCAATATAAGACTACATAGAAATAAGTGATATACATTAGAGTAATGAGCAGAGTACGGATGAATGAGAGTGGAAAGCTATTGTAAGCCAATCCCATTTTGTAGCCGACAGGCAAAAATTAATTTAAAAAAAATATATATTCAACAGATTATGTAATAAAATGTTAAATACCTTGAACGAAAAATCGAGTTGTCGTTTGTAGTGGCACATCCGTGGGCAACGATGGTCTGTAGAAACTTTGTAATCCTTCTGTTGGTAATCCACCCCTGTCTTCATATTATGTAATATACAATACAAATTATTAAACTGAGAATAATTCGTACTTTTATCATGTTTAATTAACGCTTATCATTCCTTATACAATATATTCCACATTTCTTCCGTGAAAATAATTTATCGTATCTTCTTTATCATAAAACGAGCGTATATGAATTTTTAAATACTAGCTTTATATTAAATATAACCAATTTCTATATAAGTATTCTCTGTTGTTGTATTTACGAAAATATGTCGAATGTAAACGTACTATTGACACCAAACGAAGTAACAGGAGGCGGTGGCGTGGTTGTGGTTGCAGTTTCTAAACACACATGCGTTATTAAAATAGTAATATAATGAAATTTTCACGAGATATAAATAAACAACTATATAAATTATAAAATGCGAACACTCAAATACTTAAAAAGTAAATTGTCAAGTTGAAATCCTTTCTTTTGTTCTTTTCTACTTCCTTTCTAATTCAAAAAGTATTCCGCTACTTTGTGGTAATTCCTTTATTTTAATTCCTTTATATATCAAATATATAGGGTGTCGTGTAAATTGTGGTGCAACCGGGAGGGGGGTGATTCTACGTGAAAAAATAAGTTGAAAATGTGGAGTAAAATTTGTTGGTACGAAGTTTTATTTTCGAGAAAATCGATTTTAAATATTTGCCTAGTATGTATAGTCGATGGAAGCGATATACATAGTGAGATCGTGAAATCAGTCAGGCGTCAAAATACACGTTATTCGAGCGCCAAAACAGCAATTACGTTTCAGATTTTTTAAAATAAATGTTTTACCGAATCATGTAAATTTACCAACTTAATTTTAAAGAAGTGTCAATGTAATTGCAAAACGAGCACGTGCGGTATTGTGTTTAGTATGAGAATGTTAAATATCTTTTGTTACAAATACATAATGTATTGGATGATTGCAAAAGTTCGCGCCCGATTTGAAAATAAAACAAAAATCGGTGTGTGCAAAAGCAGATCTCATGGAAGCTGAAATAAAACACAAGCGGTGTATCTTTCGATAGGAATGTAACATTAAGCTAGAAGAAACATTTGTGTCGAAGTCGATAAGGTTCTCACCACCTCTGAAAATCGGGCGCAAACTTTTGCAATCATCCAATATTTATGAAGATAAAGGCTAGAAGAATGACGTTTCGTTTAATGTAATAAAGATTTTACTGTCAGCTACATTATCAAAGAAGTTAATACTACCGGAAAACATCAAGCTGCGTATCAATTAATAGGCTACGAGAAAAATTTTGATTGTTAATTTTTATCAATTAACACAATTGATTAATTGCGTTACACAAAGCGCTAAAACAGCCATCCGATTCAAAGCTTCCGGTGTTATGTAGTTATTAATACTTCCTTCAATTACTTCGTTACTAATGCATCAAATACATACTCCCTTACAATAATGCAGAAACTAATATGTGATAGTTTTTGTACGTGTACTTACACTCCCATTCGTAAGTATTTGAACACTTACTAAATGTGAAGTGTACTGAAATCTACTGAAATCTATCAAAATCTACTGAACTCTGCTGAAATCTACTAAATTTTAGTAAAATCTATCGAATTCTACAGACGTTTACTGAATCCTACTAAAATGTACTCACTGAATGTGAAGCAAGCTTCGTTGTCATTACAAGTTTAATACAAAATTACTTAACACACAAAAGTCATATTCCAAAATTATTAACTCTTTGCACTTGGACTTTTTCTCGGGGTAGATCTTGTAGCAACTCGAATTTCCTTCGGCTCGTTACGCGTATGTAATAAATTATTTATTTGAAAGCAAAAATTATAAGTAAGATTCAAAAGATAATATCATTCCATGCTCTTTGAGTTCAATGTGAAACATTGTCTGTGCTTGGAAGAGAACTTGGAGTGTAAAGGGTTAATATTCTAAAAGAACAATTACTCATTCTAGAATCTCGAAGTGTAACGAGTATGTGGTAAAAATTTCCGTGATAAGTTCTTCAGTTTTTGCAAAATTACGCCTTTTAAAAAACTGAAACTTTCTTTGTACGTTTTTTTTTTTCGCAATAAAACTCGTACAAAAATACGCAAAGACTTTTGAAATGACTTGATACTTGGTCTAATATTTCGAAAACTATTAGAGATAAAGAAATAGTGTAAATTGACGAATTCTGTATTTTTCAACGACAAATTTAAAAAATACAAAATAATAAATAATTTTGACCAAATATACATATTACCCTGATCTTTGAGAGCGATTTTCATTCCTTCAATGTGAACGATCGCTGATAAAAAAAAATACGTGTCAAATATTTTTTTGAGTACTACTATATACCAAAGTTTCATCAATATCGGTGATTATCACTTCGAGATATCCCCTTGTTGACACTCGGTAGGCAAACCGGGTCGTTTAAGTTTAATTTTTTCACTCTTCCAGACTTTCAAAGCATCTGAAAAAATTCTAGAATACCTCTCAAAGTTTCTACTATATTATACAATCGTTCGTTAGGTCAAATGTTTAAACCTTTTCTCAAAAAAAAAAACAAATAGAAATTCGTTTGGAAGAAATACAAGAGCGAAATTTCCCTTGGGTCGTCAAAGGCGAAGATTACCTACGGAGGGTAAAATGCATAGATACGGAAAGCAAAAAAGTCATAAATCAGGGGATTAACCCCTCGCCTTATAACGCGAGTCACACTCTTGGTAAAGAATATTGTCAGGATGTGACAAAACGAGAATCATACGTCTATTGAATTTGTATTTTTACTCTCACTTCAGCTTTAATATAAAATAGCATATAATATTTTCACTTCTTTCTATTTAACACTGTATTTGAACAGTGAATAGCTGAGGCTAATATGCATAGCGACTAAAAAATCGTAAGGTAAGGGGTTAATATTGTAAATGCTCAAACTTCAATTCCAATTTATCAACGCAAGTGTTATTTACTATCTACTTTCTTTTTCTTTGTTTGTTACGTTTAATTGCATATTAAAAAAAAAAAAACATAATACTCACCGTTCTTATCATCGTAGTCACTGTAACCCTCGTAATAATCGTAATCATAGTCACCATTTTCAGGTTGTTGAGCTTGTAGCGGTTTGGATCGTTGTTTCCTAAGTTTAGTCCGTAAGGAATGAACCCGCGGTACAAGAAGCTGGACCACGACGAACGCCGCGGCTAGCTGAAGGGCCTTCGGCCCCATGAGCAACTATGGCGATGGACCAGCCAGTAACGTGATCCTAGAGCCACAACTCGCCTTCGTCTGAAGCTGAAGACAACTAGACTTACGACAACTGGCGTATCATCTATTTAGCAGATGCTTTGTAACTCAGGGGAGGTCATCACCCTCCGTTTTACAATCTACATGCAGTCCTCCCACTGCCTTGGTTTCATCTCATCCCTTCCCTTCGATCCCTTTTTTCCTTTTCAACGCTTTTCTTCTCTCCTATTTCCTTCTGTTCCTCTTCGACAACTTTATTCTTCCTCTGTTCCGCATGTATGTACGTCGACACGTGAAGGTGTGAAGAAGCATTGTCGTAAAGGAATTGGGGGAATCCCAAACGGCAACGTTTGCTCAAGTAAAATATTTCATTTATATTTTGACATCTCTTCTAAGACTTTTTCGTTAAATTTCTTTAAACTCCTTCATCTAATGAATATTTTTGTGTCGATCTCTTCAGAGGTATCAAAATAAAACGTGAAATTATTATAGCGTTAGAATCTTCAATCATTACTACCCTAATATTATTATTGAAAAATCGTTTACGTTGTTTGTGTTATATTTACAAGTATAATTGTTTATCCTCGAAATATGTGACACTTTTACCAACGTAAATTTGAAGCTTGCGTATGATTGATAAAGAAAAAAAAGAAGAAGAAGAAATCTAGTGTATTCTATTCTTTTTGTACGTGTTTACTTCATCCTAGATCTGTTTTACGAAATGAAGAGGTCATCACCCTTTACTAAGAAACTGCATGTGTCTTTTATTACTACGATCGAGTACGCACACCACTTATTTTCTTCTGCTAAACATGCTTGCAATTTTATCTGAAACTGTTTCACATACAATTAGAACATTTGCACGCGAACAACAATGACATCATGCAACGAAACTGGTACGTTAAAATTCAAAGGGTTATACTGTTTGAAATAAAAAAAAAGTGAAACATTTTTTAATAATTTTCGTGATCACTGCATCCGTTAATTATATTTTACTATTTTATTGTTTTATTCAAATATCGTTCGTGGCAACGTAATATGATAAACAATACAGTTGGGAATACCCTTAGTACATATGTTGTGTATAGTTTAACACAGAGAAGTGTTCCTCAAACGCTATACAGAATTACGCAAAAGGAAAATGTTGTCAATTTCATTTTATTTAAACTTCGTATCATTAAAAAATGAGCACATAGTGAAACAATTAGAATTAGTTTAGACTTGGTTTACTATTTACCATTTTTAAGCATGAAAATTCGCACATTAAACGAAAAAGATTTTTATAAATTTAAATAATATGTAAGTTGCAAAGACATTGTTTTTATTAGAATTGAACAGTCACATTTTCAGAATGCAAAATTGATAGTTTGTTATAATAAATAAAAAGTTTCCTAATTCGGTAAGATTGTCATAAATGCAAACGAAGCTTAATAACGATTATCTAATGATGAGCATTTGCGACCAGAATATTGCGAAAGCGTAAATTAGAACATAAATTAAACGCGGTGCATCATGCCCTATCATAGTGTTCTCATTCAGTATTCAAACGATGTGTATACATAAGGCATGTATATCTGATCTACACTCAATTACCTCTAAAGGTATTAAAAATACAGAACTGTTTATTCCATCTTCTTCTAAATATCATTATTTAACATAAGCGCAAAATCTCTGAAAAATATTTCAGTAATATTTAACGAAACTGTACGTTTCGATTATGTTGATCTTATTTAATTTACTGTATACATTTCAAAGCACAATATAGTAATAAGTATAAATGACTTCATTGAAAAATACATGAAGTTACCTTTTGTTTCCTAACCTAACCTTTATGTTGGTATAATTAGCTATTCAAGGGAAAAAAATTTAATTCTATTATCATTCTTCTTCTAATTGTAAATTGAATAATTTCGTTTATTTAAATATACTGCATATTATATTGAATTCCGTAAATTTATATTTAATATGAAGTATAATAATGCACATTAAATATCAAAGTTTACTTAAAATAAACTTCTCTCAATAATACTAGGTATATTTGTGCATTCTATTAAGTTAGTTTCATACAGGGTGAGTCAATAACAACTGCCACCTGAAATAACTCGTTATTAATTGATTCTATCAAAAAGTGTTTTGTATAAAGTACAATACTTTACATTGTATTCAATGCATTTTGATTTTTTCATGTCTTAAATTTTCGAAGATATCAAGATAACCTTCAATTTTTTAAATCGAATATTGTGTATTTTTTTATAAATTCAACCACGTGTGATACAATTACCTTTGAAGTCTTACAAGGTCAATAACATTGTACTTACTAATACTTTTTATTTATAAGGCTGTGCTTATATACTTCGTGTAAAACATTTTTTGACAAAATCAATGAATCAATTTAATTTAAATTTGTCTGGTAAATTCAACTTCATATTGTACGTGAATATTCACAAATTATCATATCATATTATGAAATAAACAAAAGGATTTAATAATACAAAGTTACTTATATTAAATTTTCTGTTGCGAAAGCAGTCATTTTTTTCATATTTGAAGTCGTACTCGCTAAATTATAGGTTATACATATAACCTTAAAATTGATCGAATAATAATCCTCTAAGAGAGCCTCTTTTTATAACATTTAACAACTCCAGAGATACTTCCCCATTGTGATATTATTTGAGAAGGTAATGTACTAATTACCCAGAAGGCTTAAGCATTACAGAATTTGTGTAGTTTAATAATTGTGATATTTATTTGAAAATTCATTATTTTCAATATTTTACATAAGCATATTCTTATAATTAATTCATAGTGTACAATACTAAACTGTAAATAGTACCGCGTGATAAATAATTTCTTGAATACGTGCATACTTAGAAATGCTAAATACAAATCTAACTTAACATCTACAATATTTAGAATTTTTGCTTAAATTTATGATTAAATTAATTATACCAAGCGATTTGCTTGCTTCACAAAAAAATGTAAATTCAATTTCTGAAATATGCATATAGTTCCTTGACCTACTTAACGATCTTCTCAGTTTTCATCAGTTAGAGTTACGATACTATTGTCGATACAGATACACGTCATTTCTACTTAATAAGTTTATTAAACGACAATCATTATTTTGGCCGCATTCCCGGAGCGCGACTTACTTTACAAAGTGTTAACCGTAATAGGCTACATTGACCCAAGTCCCTGTATCGTTGCGGCTGACTATAAATCAGAGTTACCACTATTTCTAATAGTATATCTGGGTCAGTGTATTAGTCAACATTGTTTTTATAATGTTAAACGTTAAATCTACACAGCAAATCCTGCAACTGGTACTCTTGTATTTCGAATAATTTTGTTCCGTTAATTTTACTCGAAACTTGTTAACAATGAGTAAGAAAATGAATTATCCATATCATTCATATTATATTGTATTTAATTAA